TCATCGCTCTCGATTCCACTTAATAATGACACAGCACTGACTCCTCTTGACGTGTAGTTTTTTTTACTTGATTTCGCATTGCTTTTCGAAGACATATCGTCTATATTTCTCCTTCGACACACTTTAAATAATTAATTGATTAAAATCATGTTATATGCAAATAAAAAACTTTTTACAATGTTTACAATTTGTTTAAATATTTAAATCCAAATATTACATCGAATAGCTTAGGTAACTGCCTGATAATAAGTAATTTCCTGCGACAGTTGTGAGATTGATGAAAACATCCTTTTCGTTTACAATGGAATGAAGGCCTTCTTCTGATACGCGCAGTATTAATACTTTCAATTTTAAAAATACTACAGACTTGTTGATATAAATAGCCCATGCGCGTGAAAGTCAGTGAAGGTCGATGTTCCAATTATCGTGTACTTGATTGTGATTGGTTAATTGCCAGGAAGTCAAATGCAAGTCTGCAAATTACTGTCGGATATCCGACTAAATTTGGCGAATGTCCGAGGGTAAGGGTAAAACGCTGAAACTGAATCGCGGAATCGGAAACTGAAAGCGGAAACTGAAATGGGGATAAAACGCTGATATGGGGGTAAAACGATGAAATAGGGATAAAACGCTGAAATGGGGATAAAACGCTGAAATGGGGATAAAACGCTGAAATGGGGATAAAACGCTGAAATGGGAATAAAACGCTAAAATGGGGATAAAACGCTGAAATTGGCAAATTTAATCGAATTCTTTGTTTACTAGACCATCGCGAACACATGTAATTTGCCTACAGCTATAAAACTGAATAAATATAAGAAAGAAGTTACCTGGTAAAATGACAACCACAAATTTTCGCCACGCTTTTTAGCCACTCAAATTGCTTCGTTTGCGGTCCAGTTTTTCACGATACGGACCGCTCAACCGGACCGCTGCGGAATTTAAACTTAAAGTAAACAAAATAAATTATACTTTCTACTGTTTGAAATTAAGAAGCAAAAATATGTATAGCGATTACGAAAGCCACAGGAAAACAACGAAATTTGGAATGAAGGCGAATTTTTTAACTCCAAAAACGGTGCCACAAGGCACACAAAGTTCGGTTCGCGCCTCGCCGAAAAGTTGAGTTCGAAGTTATATGGAGAGAATTGTAGATGTATTATTAATAAAAGATAAACTTTGAGATAAAATTCGTTCTTCGAAAATTTATGGTTGTCATTTTACCGAGAACTTCTTTCTAATATTTATTCAGTTTTATAGGCAAATTACAAGTGTGGCAAACAACGAATTCGATTAAATTTGCCCATTTCAGCGTTGTTTCTTCATTTCAGCGTTGTATCTTCATTTCAGCGTTTTATCCCCATTTCAGCGTTTTATCCCCATTTCGGCGTTTTATCCCCATTTCAGTGTTTTATCCCCATTTCAGCGTTTTATCCTCATTTCAGTTTCCACTTTCAGTTTCCGTTTTGTCCGCGATTCAGTTTCAGCGTTTTATCCCTCGCCGCAATGTCCGAGCAACTTTTGCTCGGGATCACATAATCAGATAAATTTTTGTTGTTGTGACAAAATTCGATTGCAAATTCACTCAATTTGTATTTTGCAATAAAACTTACGAGGCGTTCTAGCATTTACTTTACAGTTTACTTAACGTTGCGCCGGAATGGCATACATACTTGTCTTGTGACTTACAGTATATATGTCTTGTGACTTATATATATCTATATGTCCGACCAAATTTAGTTATGCTGCTTTTTGTCCGACAAAATTCAAGTTATGTCCGACCAAATTAAAATTAAAAATGATCTGACAAATGTCCTGTGAAGTCAAATATTTATTTGCAGCCCTGCTGAAATGTATAGCGAATGTGAGCAGACGTTACTGTAGGTGGGGCCTCGGCCACTAACAACGTCTGCGCAGGTGGTTAGCTCTAATCAAGCAGGGCTAGTATTGCCAAGAGACTGCTACACTAGCTGATGTATATAAAATTACTAAAATTTTCAAGCAACGTGCTCCTCTTGCGCAGTTTAATGTGACTGTGTAAACGTATTTTAAAAGGATGTACTGTAATTTCTTGTCCCTCCCCTTAGACTAACAAAAATTCGTCAGGTGAACCTAATGTAAGTATTTAACAACTAAAATGTTGTTATACTATTATTGCCGTAATTTTCCGAATGGCCAACCCTATTTTCCAAATATGTCAATTCTAAAAAGGTTGGGGGGGGGGATTAATCCCCCCAATACACCCTCGCTACGGCCTTGCGTACAGTACATTACACTTGCTCACTTACGAAGAATGGAGAATGTTGCAATTTCGTAAAATGAGGAAAACGCTTTGCTAATTGCCAATTATATTTTCTTGTTCTAAAGGGTGAAGAGCTGACAGAGTACAAGAAATATCGCGACCAAAATGTTAAACGAAATCAATTATATATGGATGATAAATGCTGGGCTAGCTGGTAAGTACAATTTACAGGTGTGTACCGTAGCTGACATGCACCGAACTTTAATGCTGTGCAAACTCCGGTTTTTCAACTCGGGCTCCGGCTGCATTGGTTCACAACACAGTCACAGGCAATATAGTCTGGGATTATGGCGGATATTATTCGGCTCAATTTTGTTCCCAACGTAAGATGACGTGATACAGCGTATTAAATTATGACGCTTGCGATTTACAACTCTTTCTGTGATAAGATAGATCACAGACATAATGACTTATTGTAATTTCACCGTTTGCAGTAGCCGAAAATCGCGAGATGGTTTGACATAGCATATATGACTTCAGATTACTGTTTATGAACTTTTAACAAATTCAATGTTGCCATTGTTTGTAACCAACGCTAATTATTCCAAATTGTCACATTTTTCTTCATTCTGACTTTCTGGCCGGAGCTGGGAGAAGGCCCTACCACTCCAGCTCCGGTTAACAAACAAACAAAAAACACACCGGAGCTCCAGCAGAACTCCAGCGCGGCACAACACTATACCGCGCAATCTGTTACAACAAGAAAGAGGACGGCATAAACTAGTTTACGGTAAAATTAATTAACTAACTCATCCTTAATACACATACAGTATTTCAATGTACTGTATTCTATAGATACTGTATATGTGGTATTCACGTATGGTTTTCTTTTCTTTAGATTTCTAAGGATTCTGCATTATTGGTGACGCATTACTATACAAAGACGAAACAGCTGCAAGACTTAAAACCTGACCGTGTAAAAAAATTTGTGTAAAGTTAAAAAAATTAAAATTGGCAAAGGCGACACAAAAGAATCTCTCTGTGTGGAACTAGGCAGAAAACTATTTGAAGTAGTTAGAATCAATGACAACGACAGAGTGAAGTACAATAACTTAAAACTTAAAAGTGACTTGTAAAATAAACTAACTTATTAGCACTTATTGACGGAGATCGAGGCTGATAGAAATTTTACGCTTTTTTGCCAATATTTCTGTTGCCATTTTTTTTTAATTTTAACATGTATATTCGATATACCACATTTTATTGTACTATATTTACATGCGCGTTGTTGCTCGTTGCAGTAATACTGATAGATTTTTTTAATAAAAAGTTTCTATGCGTTCATTCTGTATATATTATATCATTTTTCTGATCATATAAAATTTAAATTAAAGGGTTATTGAATTTAAATTTGCAGGGTTTTTCACATTGTAACTGTGTTTTTACCGAAATTCTCCATATTAGCCATTCCGAAGTTGATGAGTAGACTGTGGACGAATGTTAAAAATTGCCCAAATTAAGAAAAGAAGGCCACCTCAAAATTAGTAAGCATACAAAGTTTGAAGAAGTTTACATGAATATCCTCCGAATAATATATAGGCTTTCAAAAATCGCGATATTTATTACTATGAGACGTATTGTAATTTTTGTTTTAGGAACGCGCGTCCGAAAAACAATCTTTTAATCACTAATTTCACAATTTTCGAAAGCTTATTACTCGAAGGGTATTCATGCAAACGTCTTCAAACTTTGTATACTTACTAATCTTGAGGTGGTCTTCTTAGCTATTTGGTTCATTTCTTAATTTGGGCTTAATTTAACACTCGTCCCCAGTCCTCTCGTCAACTTCGGAATGGCTAATTGGTTTCCTACGGCATATTTACATGGTCCGTTGCAGATAAATTTACGTGATTTTACATGATTCCTTAGAATTTAAGAGGGCCTCTCAGTAAAATCCACTCACTGGTTTGGGGAAGGAAAAATAGATTTAGCTCATATTTTGCATATGAACTAGACTTTGGTCAATATTAATCGAACTTCTTTCAGAACGTTTCAACTTTCTGTTTTATAGGAGTTACAGCCATGTTAAAATTTGACCTTGCGAGAATATTTTCAGACCGGAAATGAAGGGGAATTTTACAAGAATTCATCTGCTTTTTTAAAAACGTTGTGATGCGTTTATCCCCTCCAGTTACTGTTCACATGCAAGATTAACACTAATACTCTCATTTACATGGAGATTGAACAACTTTATTCGCTTAATACGATTTTTTTATAGTTTTACGAAACTATGTTTTCAAGATGGCGACGAGAGGCTGAAAATTGTTCATATTTTACTTAAAATAGCTCAAAAGTGGCACCTATCTGAAGTTCAAAAGGCATGTAATTTGAAAGTATACCTACTAAAGTTAAGTAATCAGGAATAAAACTGGTCTGCAAGCAATTTTCTGAAAAGTTATAAATCTCCAAATTGCGTCTATTTTTAGCTGTTTGTTTACATTCGCGTGTTCGCTGATCAGCGACACTAGTAATTGAAGAGTTAAAATAGGCTGATTTATTACCCATGAGTAAACCTTTTTAGCTTGTTCAAAAGAATATATACAATTTTGTGAAAATATAATTACAATATATACAATTAAGCGATCGTGTACAGAACATTTTTGAATTCGAATTGCTTTACATTTATACACTTGCACTAATTATACACTTTCAATATACACATACAGTAGTACAATTACAACGATTCTGCTGGTGTATACGATCCTGATATCTTTTAATGTTATTAAATAATATATTGGTAATATAATAAGAACTTCGTCAATACATTGACACAATACCATAATCTCCTGATTATGACCTTGATCCAGGGGCGCCGGAAGCAATGTGAAGCGGCGGGGCAGCCATTTCAAAAGGGCACTTGCTTCTAAGCAATCATTTTTCTGGGCGGCAATATTTGTTAAAACTTTATTGTATGGATACTCGATTACTTGTGGCTATTGTGGGTCGGCAAACTTCGACATTAATTTTGAACAATTTTATTCGTTGCACCATGTTAAGGGCGCTGATAAAATCAGTAAACAGACGTATATTGCCTGGTTTAGCATTAATCAGGGGCCGCGGAACCGGGGACAATGGGGCATGTGCCTCACCACATTTTAAAAATGAAAAAATGCCTTTTTGGGGGGGCTAGAAAGGAAATGCCCTTTTCGTAGTAGTAAAAACTCTGTAAAGGCCATTTCCGACTTTATAGGAACTCCATATTTTCAAAAATCGTTTGATTTTGATCACAATTATACAAAAGTAATTCCGCGGCCTCACGCATTAATTTTACTACAACTGGTTAAAATTAAGCAAAGATTGCTTAAAATAGTTATAAATTCCAATTCATGTTAATAACGCACAAATTTCGAAGCGCAGTTCTGGTGAAAAAGGGCAAGCTGTTGCCCCCCTGTCCGCCCCCGCACTGTTTCGGCAACGGGGGCAGTTGCCCTCGTGGCTCCGGCGCCCCTGCCTTGATCTGCCGCTAAGTTCACTCCAATAATCGGTGAATTATTCATACTTTAACACTTACATACTATCTATAAGTGGCTCTGGTCCACAAAACACACTGTTTTCCTCGGCCTCGATCTCAGTAAATATAAAGTGATAATACATAAGTTTAATGTTTAGTTACTTTTGTTCTATTCAGTCTATGCTTCTGTAAACTAGAACAATAGTAACTAGGCATGTAAGTTATCCAAAGCTGTGAATTGGGTGGCAACGATGTAAACAGCGTTAGCCAAATTTGTCTATTGGCTTCACTTTTTATAGAGTCTATCCACTAATCTCATATTGACAGGATAGACCCAATTGAAAAATGAAACTGAACTAATAACAGACTGGATAGTCATGTTTGTCAGCTATTCCTGGGTAGGTAAAAGTGCCCTGCTCTGGCAAGTATAAGTTCACTCTCGTTGATGGTAAGCCTCGTGAGGTGACAACTGCTGGGGTGAGTACAAATGTCTGCATTACACTCCCCCAATTTGTGCAACTTTCTGTATTCCCCGGCTTTCTCCACATGCAAAATTCCCCAGGCCAGCAAAAGAAAAGTTCTTTTCCATGACTCAAGCATGCACAAAGTAAAAATAAGAGCTGCTATCAAAAATAACTGGCAAGCTAGTGTTGCAGTTCAGCATGAGCTCCACCTTTGAATTTACTATATGAGTAAATTCTTAAACACGTCCGAAATTATCATTATGATAAATTCGCAGCACATTTTGAATTTATGATAATAATAAATTCGCGGCACTAACCCCTAACCACTAATCCCCTAACTCCTAACCAGTAATCTCTAACTAACCCTAACTTTTTTAACCGTTTTAAATTTTTTTAACTTTTTTAAAAATCTAACATTTTAAACTTTTTGCTTTTTAAAACTCTTTTAAAACTTTTTTAAAAACTATTTTTTTGAAAATCTCTGTTTCTTACTGCAGTATTTCTGTTATTGCAGCGGTTAACAAATTATATGGAAATACGACGATATAAGTTAAATTTCAAAATTCTTATGTGTTCATATGCAGTGAATCAAACGAAAAATGCAACCTTTGTTACAATTATTTAAAATATTACAAAAATAAAAAACAACTAAATTTTATCGCCATATTTCTCCATAATTCGGCAACCGCTACAATAATGCAAAAGTCAAAACAAAATAGTAAATGACAACAGACTACAAAAGCGGAAGTGGGAAGGTTGTAGTATTTTGACTGCAATTATGTACAAAAATATGTTGCATCCATGCTGCAAGAATTAATGTCCGACCTTTCCGGCAAAATTTCCATTTACAGGGACAGAAAAAGATTACAAGACAAGTTGAATAAAAAAGTTAAAGCACCGAACACTTTTTATGTACAGCCAGAGATACTGACAGCTTTGAAATTTGCTACAACCACAGAAAGTACTGCCCGATTATACCTTAAAAAGATATTTAACAGTTGTGAAATTATTCATGCGAATAAGCCAAGAATGGTTAAGGTTGTATTTTTAATGTTTTTATGTTGTGAATTAGAAGCTGGATAATATACCAGCTTATTTAACTTTTTAATTATTAGTAGTGTCGCTGATCAGCGAACACGCGAATGTAAACAAACAGCTAAAAATAGACCCAATTCGGAGATTCCTAACTTTTCAGAAAATTGCTTGCAGACGAGTTTTATTCCTTATTACTTAACTTTAGTAGGTATACTTTCAAATTACATGCCTTTTGAACTTCAGATAGGTGCCACTTTTGAGCTATTTTAAGTAAAATATGAGCGATTTTCAGCCTCTCGTCGCCATCTTGAAAACATAGTTTCGTAAAACTATAAAAAAATGGTATTAAGCAAATAAAGTTATTCAATCTCTATGTAAACGAGAGTATTAGTGTTAGTCTTGCATATGAACAGTAACTGGAGAGGATAAACCCATCACAACGTTTTTAAAAAATCAGATGAATTCTTGTAAAGTTTCCCTTCATTTCCGGTCTGAAAATATTCTCGCAAGGTCAAATTTCAACATGGCTATAACTCCTATAAAACAGAGAGTTGAAACGTTCTGAAAGAAGCTCGATTAATATTGACCAAAGTCTAGCTCATATGCAAAATATGAGCTAAATCTATTTTTCCTTCCCCAAACCAGCGGGTGGATTTTACTGAGAGGCCCTCTTAAAACTGCATGATTTTTACACTATATTTACCAGGCTTATTGAATTTAAATTTACATGCTTTTGACAAGGTTCTCGAGGAATCTTTTACAGGGTTTTTGTTGCATGCCATATATGGCATGCAACTTTCATATAGCTCCAGGGGCCGCGGAACCGGGGGGGCAATGGGGGCATGTGCCCCCCCACTTTTCTTAAAAGTGAAAAAGTGCCCTTTTTTCTGGGCTAAAATGCCCCATTTAAAGAACGGAAAAAGTATTTCTTGAATAAACGCCCTCTTTTTCTGGAAAGAAAATGCCCTTTTCGCAGTAGTAAAGATTCTGTAAAGGCCATTTCCGACGTTAGAGAGACTCCATATTTTCAAAAATTTTCGTTCGGCTCGTGAACGTCATAAAATCGTTTGATTCTGGTCATATACAAAAGTGCCCCTTTCGGTCAATGCCCCTCCACTTTCGAAATGCTTCCGCGGCCTCTGTATAGCTCTAAATTTCGTGTCGTGTTCGGTGAGCGGTGAGCGGTGAGCGGTGATCGGTGAGCGTACCAGTCACGTGGCAGATTCGTAAAATACGACAAATACCGAGTTTCCGACGAGCATTTTCATGCCGGGTTTTCGTCGAGGAAACGCAAAGAAAATTTATATATTGATTATTCGCTGAAAATTTACATAATCGAACGCCTTAGAAAAATAAATCGAAGTAGGTAAAGCTTTACTGTTTTAATTTACCTTATATTTTGTTATTTGTTGTGATTTTGGAGCCGTTGTGCTCGCACTGATTATTTATCAACTATCACGCGTTTATATTTATACAGCCGCGAACGCTATCAAAATACTCGATTTTTATATACTCAAACTGAAACAGAGCCATTGTGCTCGCACTGATTATATTGTGTGCAAAGCTTCAAAACTACAGCATATTTTGTAAACAACATGAAATATAAATATCAAACACAATTTAAATTATAAATAGAAATACAATTGAAAGCCTCAAACTCAAAGCCGCGAACGTTATCCAAATATTCGATTTTTATATACTCAAACTGAAACGGAGCCATTGTGATCGCACTGATTATATTGTGTGGAAAGCTTCAAAACTACAGCACATTTTGTAAACAACATGAAATGTAAATATCAAACACAATTTAAATTATAAATAGTAATACAATTGAAATCGAGATTGAAATATACAACGAAATAGCAACCATTGTGAAGTACGCATAAGATTCAACATGACATTCGATATAGTGTAAATTAACTCATTTCAATCACTCAAACGTCAAAATGATAAATAATAATCATTTTTAATCTATTGTAGTAATTCACCGTTTCCACGCGTTTACGCATTAAAAAGTTACAATAAAGCTAAATCTATAGGAAATGACGTTATTTAGTTATTAATATTAATTTGTAAAGTAAATCTAACAGTCAATCGCTTTTGATAAAACCTTGACCCGCTTTGACATTGTTAAAAGGGCCCTACAGTAATTTTTTAGTCAAGTAAGTATTGTTTACATTTTTGTTATTGTCGCTACTTGACATGCGCATCACGGCATGCATGCGTCTTCCGGTGTGCGGAAGAGCTCATATTCATAGATACTGCATGAATACAGCCAAACAAATCCCCTTGGAGTCCCCTACTTAAGGTGGCTTTTCGACTAAAAAAGGACTGTATAGGGTCCCTTACTCCCTTTAATGTTATTATTACCATCGCTTGCAACTAACTATTAACGATCGCTTAAAAAAAACATTGTCTATATTCGCGTGCTTCTGCTGGGGTCTACAGCGTAGGCAAATTCGCGTGAGAGTCTTAAGTTTTCTTGTTTTGACATAATAGCTATTTTGCAATAAATATATTGATATTAAATTTATTGAATCGATATTGTAAGTTTCACGCCAGTTGTACTAAAGGTTATAAGCGCTAGTATGCAAACAATTTCTATAACTAATGACCCAAATGAAATGTGGGATGAATGGAAACACATATTTCTTACGGTGGCAGATAGGCATGCACCACCGATTACTAAAAAAGTAAGAAGTGAATATGCTCCATGGATTACCAGTGAAATTAAAAATATGATGCACCGTAGGAACTTCTTGAAAAGAAAGGCAGTAAAAATTGGATCTAAACAATTTCATGACGCTTTTATCAAAGCACGAAATGAGCTTAACAAATTGATTAAAAAAACAAAGACAGACTATTTTAACAACTGTGAAAACAATCGAAAACAGATGTGGAAAACAATTAATAAGCTTACCAATAAAAATTCGAAAACGACTATTATCACAGAAGTTAAGCACGAAAGCCAAAGTGCTACAGATG